CTCAAAAGCATCAATTCTTCTACGGTCTTCCTTATTCACTGTTCAGCTTTTGCATCATATGAGGTTATTGAAAATACCGTGGCTTGGGTCAGGTGCACCTTAGTCCTCAAGCTGACATCTTTGCTCGTCAACACTTTAAAAAGGTCTTGAACAGCAGATTTTCCTTCTTGGATCAACTATCAACACCATGGAAGCAGCAGTCAAGATATCAAATGACATATATTGTATTAGACAAATCTGCTGCACAAGAGCTTTATAAAGTGTTGATGAGCAAAGATGTCAGCTTGAGGACTAAGGTGCTCCTGACCCAAGTCATGGTATTTTCAATAACCTCATATGTATGTGAAAGCTGGACCGTGAATAAGGAAGACCACTGAAGAATTGATGCATTTTAATTATGTTCTTGGAGGAGAACATTGAAAGTGCCATGGGCAGCTAAAAGAACCAACAGATCTGTGCTGGAATAATTGTAGCCATTAGTGTTCCTTGAAGACCAGGATGGCCAAACTTCATGTCTCATGCTTCAGACATATTGTCAGGAGGGACAAGTTGCTGGAGAGGGATATTATGTTTGTTAAGGTGGAGGGTCAGAGAAATAGAGGAGTGCTCCCATCACCATCAGTGGGCTCAAGTGTGGTAACAATTGTGAGGTTGGTGCAGGACCTGGCTGTGTTTTATTCTGTTGTTCATAGAGTCGTTATAAATCGTTATGGACTTAATGGCACCTAACAACAACAACAGCAATATGCATATAGGTACATCCTTAGCATCAACAATATTGTGCTGCAGACTCAGACAGAAATACACTTGTTTCAACCATAGCTACAGCAGTGCTATTGTTTATTGTGTTCCAACTCATAGTGATACTGTATAGGATTTCCAAGGAGGGCTACTGTGTTTGAACTGCCAACCTTGCAATTCAAACTGGCTTTGCAGTCCAGTGCTTATTCTACAGTGCCACCCACACCAGGACTCTAGCAATAGAATAGTAGAATTATTACCCCATCTAATCACCTATCTCCGAGATTGCTACCAATAACACGGCAATAAGTATTTTCCCAGTATTAAGACTAATGAGTCTCCTTTAAATGTGAAATGAAATAAGAGGTAATTGATTTTTTTCCCACAAATTTTTTAAACACCCTTCATGTTGAAATGTACAATTTGATGATTTCTTCATTATCTTTCCATCTCTACAAGAAGTTGGGTATTTGCATTGCCTTCCCTATCCTGAGAGAATCTCTTCATCATCTAAGTTAGAGGAGAGGCTGATGGAAGCAGCCTCAAATCAAAATGTCAGATATTTCACCAGAAGTGCAACAAGTTCTCAAGGTTTAATGATTTTCAGTGGTTTGAACTAGTTACTGTTGTCCATTTTGTCTAGTTCTTTATTTTGTGTTTTGGCTCAGAGCCTACTGCTGTTACTCAGCCCAAGTTGGAATGCATCTGTTTTGTATTATTCAGACAAGACAATCTTTAAGATAAGTTAAGCCTGTAAACCTTACTTAAACCAATATTCCTTTCTTCCTTACTGGGTTTAAACTTCACTTGGATCAAACTGATTGAACCCAGGGTGGTCCGAGGGAGTTGCCCCCATTGTCCTTAATCCCATATTCCCAGAATTTACCACTCCACCCCAAGTGAATATACCCC